AACCAAGTAAGAAATAAATCAGAAATTGAAGCTTGTGTTAAGCAGTAAAAATGTGTGTTTCATTTAACACACTACATAAACTGTTTAGTACAGTGAAGTGTTTAGTATTGTTGAAAAAATCAATTACTTAAATGTTGACATTATAGTCATATTTATACATTAGCATCTTGAAGTAATATGTATTGGAAATACAGCTATAGCCAACATGATAGTAATTGAACAGGTTCATACAAGTTAGTAAACAATGAATATTTCATCATTTTAAGTTAGGATGACTAAAATACCAAAAGGAAAAAGAAAGCCTATGGTGAAGACAACAAACCGCAGCTCTTTGAACAAATATTTAGACACAAAACATTAAAAGAATTTTAAACTGATGTTTGCTATATCTTTTTCTTTCACTGAGATTTTAATATGGGTAACTCTAAAATCTGACCTCTGAATTAAAGGAACAAGACAGTACCCAAGGAGTTTACCCTGAAACATAAAACAGTGAAAATCACTAAGCGTGAAAGACAAAGATCTTCACCTGTAGAAGAGGCAGCCTAAGAAAACAGTAAGAAGCCAGGCATTCCTGCCTGAGTCCACACAAAACTTAGGATCACATGAAAACGGTCGCATTTAGACAGCAGTATTTGATCTCAAATAGAAGTAATCCCCACAGAATAGCCAACGCTTCATCTCTTAGTCGTGATTTTTCTTGATATCATGGCATGTTCCTAAATAGAGAGGTTGTTAACTTGGGCCACATGTAGAGTGCTTTCATTTTTTTACACATTTATTTTTTGTATTTTTTGTGTGTGCTAATGTGCCATGGTGCATGTATGGAAGTCACAAGACAACGTGTGGGAGTCAGCTTTCTTCTAACATATGAGTATTGTGTTGGCTTAAACACATCAATAAGAACATCAGTGTGCCAAGAATGTGTAAGCATTTTGTTAGAAAAAAAATTAATAAAGTATTTCTTCTTGATGTCATTTAACCAAGAGAAAGGGCAGATTTCAATTCTCTTGTTTGTTTGTTTGTTTGTTTGTTTTTCTTTTTTTCTGGTGTCTGCTGTCATAGAATAAAACTGTACCTGTGTGAATGCTATCTTGTCAATACCTTTCTTTCTGGATCTGTCTGTGTGTCTGTAACAAAGAGCTTGGCTCTCATTTTCTGAACAGCACAGAAAGAATCAGCTTGAGTAAAGTACTGATCAGCAATCTTTAACAGAGTTACAAGCGATGAAGTCACTGACTTCAACAGACTGAAAGTGATCCAGAAAATAGAGCACCACAAACATTATCAAACAATATACATATGTTGTGTTCAACATTTATGGTGGCTACTCACTTATTAAACACATTTTTTTCTTACAAATAGTTTTCAGTACATATTAATACATATACTCATGCATTGCTTTCCAGGGGCAGGGAAAAGTATATAACTTAAGATTTCAGTTATGCATTATTAGGCTATAAAAGTTGATTAAGTAGAAAATCTAAAGCAAGAAAGCTTAGGTGTTTTCTGGCACTGCTCTAATTTAATTGCTTCTCTACCTGCTATGGTCTGTATTATGTTGTCTGCCATGTCTTGACTGTGACTAGGTCTGGGAGTAAAAAGGGATTTCTAAATCACTTTCCAATCTGAACAATAATAAATCTGAATTAATTCTTGCTTATTTTTGACAATTTAGTTCTCAGTGAATGAAATGGAAGAAAAAGATGGTCTCTGTGATCTTCTTGGTCCTCTGTCCTAAAGAGGACAACTAAGAATTGTCTGAGGTACCTCTCAGAGCAGTGAGGGTACCTTTTCAGTGTTATCTCCCATATGCTGGGAGCAAAGATGCACCCTAGGCTTTAGGGATGCAGATTCCCAGAGAACAAACTGAAGCATCAGGACTGACTAAGATCACAAAGTTGTTAGGATTAAGTCACACCTTTCCAACCTTCATACTTCGTCAAGAATATCTATTCTTTATCAAACGTCTGGTAAAATGTATTGTTCTGCGTTTCCCTGAATCACCATTACAGAAGGCTCTGTGTACAGATTATTTAGATGAAATAAAGGTATCTGCCTCAGTTTTGCTCTAAGAGCTTAACCAGCATGCCAGGGAAAGGACAACAATTGTTCTCATTCAGTATGTCTCCATCTGAAGGTATAAAATTGTATAATTATGCTGAATTGTCACATTTACAATATATAGTTATTAACTTACACATTATTTCTAGGGTCTCTAAGAGATTGTCACACTTTCAAATCTCTCTCAACTCTCATCCCTAAACAATTACTTTATTCTTTATTAATAAAGAGACTTGAGAAGACATTACATGTCCACACTTAGACCTGGTTAGTGGTCCTCACCAACGTGGACCATGAACCCAAGATGGAGAAGTCCAACAGAACCGCTAAATACAAGCTGTGCATGCATGTAAGCTTACCATCTACCACGTGCTATATCTTTCTTTCTTCATACTTTAGGGACGAATTTTTCTACTCCCACTTTGTTTTGGATGCTTTCCTTTCTTGATGTTAATATCCTGTCGTCCTAACCCCCAGATGAATTGCTTTAGTCAGTCTGCACTTTATGAAATGCCTAGGGTGTGAGACAAACACTCTCATGTAAGAGACCCAAATACTTCTCATCCTTTCCTATCTTGTGAGGTTAGAGAAAACCATCAGCATCTGGGCACCGGCATGCAGAGACTGAATATGCTGGGCTTGAATCTTGAGATTCTCGTCCCTCTGCACCATGAGCTATAAATCCTGGTTGCTTCTCTAGTCTGCAACTTTTGTTAATGTGTTGCAAATGAGCCAACACCTGCCTTTATCATAGCAAATCCCTGAAACTGAATGTATCTCCTTCTCAAGAAAATTAAGCCAGTAATTCATTCTTTCCTTTGTGATCAAATTTTGCCTGCTCACAACACTATCATCATCAAAACAAAAATATGCCAACCTTCCTCACCTGACTACCATCATATGTACTTGGTTGGTTCCTATCTGTCCATTCTCCTTTAAGTCCTTCTAACTATGCTTTTGCACACAACATTGTTCTAAGCTCCTCGCACACGCCATTGCTCTAAGCTGTTCTCATGCACCATTTTTCTAAGCTGCTCGCACACACCATTGTTCTAAGCTGTTTGTACATATACCATTGTTCTAAGCTGCTTTTGTGGAGATCACATTGACATCTAAATTTTTCACCTAGTACTTAGTGCCTGTCCCTCAGTTTTCTTGAGGAGCACATAACAAAACAAAAGTCTTCCCTTCATTCTCCCTCTATTTTTTGAGGTAAGCATGCCATATATATTCAGTGAATTTTTAACAAAGTTATTGAATCATTTTTGGAGACCCTGTGAAGTCCAACAGGGTTTCATGAAAAATAATTTGGAACATGCTACTTCTCTTGAGAGAAAGATGGGGCTTACATTGAAAGGGGTCTTTAACTGCCCATCAAACTGGATTAATAATATAACTCTCACTTTGAATAATAGGTCTTTTGAGCCCTAGAAGTGCTCTGCATTATAAAAAATGTTAGTAGCTGTTATAATAATAAACTACTGTGCTTACTTGATGGCATTTTAAAATAAACTCAGTTATTTAAAAAATCAAACAGCAAATATCCCTGATTTTAAATCATTTTGTTAATACTTATGCTTTTACTTCCTTAATTTCTTTAACCTTTTAAAATGTAATTCTACTTTTTGATCACAGACAATTTTGACTCAGAATTGCTTATAATCCTATTAGACAATGTTGATATTTTCAAGTATCTCATGCATGATACTTTACAGACATTCGAGGATATCATAATGTAAAAAGCCTCTTCTTTTGTTCTCTGAAAGTTTAAAATACTATCTTCAAGAACAACAAAATTTTATAGAGGATAAATTTCAGATGCTAAAAAAAAGAAAGAAAAACAGCCTCCAGAACTAATGGAAAAGATTTTTAAAAAAATTATGAAAAGGTTATTATTCACAGAACTATTTATTTTCTGTACCTGCTCTATGGTTATTTGGTAAAATGTCATGTGATTCACTACCCTGTTACTGAGCTCCAAATATTCTAGAAATAGCAAATGTAAACTGGTGCCAGAGTGGCCAAGTAGCCACGGCAACCGCAGAGTGAGGGAGGCTTGTGGAAGCATGGAAGAGGAGAACTACAGAGATAAACAAGAGGAGGTAAAAAAGTTGGTAAAGCCATTATCATCCACCATAATAGTAAACATATAATAAATAAATAAACTTGGATAATTGTTGAAGGAAGAATTGCTTCAATTTAAAAAATTATTTTCAGTTTCAAGTTACTATAAATATTTGGATGTTGCTCTGTTGTCAAGGGACACTTTAAACACTGCAGCTAAAACACTGGTTTTCTTTTCAACTGAGTAGTTTTCTATCCCTGACTCCTTAAAGATGTGCTAACAGAATATGTAACTCAGGATAATGACAACCTTAATCACAGTGTCCCCCTTTATTTTTAGTTAATGAAGCCAGACAAGACTTTTATTCGAAGGTGAGGGTCTGAGTGTTGCAGATGTTTATATGTGAAGGATCGAGATGGAAACTATGGAACTGATTCTCCGGTTGCCTCACTGCTGCCTTTAACATGAGCCAGGAATGTGAAGCACATCCCACAGGAACCTGTCCTAAAGGAGAAACTTCGGATTTCAGCTTGTGTCCAATGATGGGAAAAGGTAAATTCCTGAGCAGCTATTCACAGTGAATTTGTGAATAGTTATAGAACCTCTGACTTGAGATTCAAATCTCTGTGATGAACGGGAGCAGCCAAACTCCTCCAGTGTGACACACTGCCTTCTGTCACACAAAGGTCTGTCTCATTTCTGTCTGCAGGCTGGCTTAAACATTTTTCAACTGCTCTCATTTTCCCCTTAGAGGAACACAGCCAAATCATTGTTAGAATTTTTAAGACACTGGATACTTTGTCCAGTCCTTGTTGAAAGTATTTGAAAACTTTTCACTCATCAAAATTATAAGCATTTAAAGAACACTCACCTTTCAGGCTGTTTTGAACTCCTAAGGCGATATCCAGGGCACTGAAGGGCAGAACAGGTTCATTGGCGATTTGTAAAATTACTTCTCCTGAGAGCTGAAATGAAAAAAAGAAGAATTTGGAGTATTCAATAGCTAAGATTGTCATTTTTAATTTATTGGATATTTCACATTTTATTCTATGCCCAGGGTAATAATAAAAAGACACAAATTTAATTATGAAAAATCCTTTTCCTCCCAATTATTTTTGAGCTTATATTTCTGTGAAGACAAAAACTCTAGATCCCTCTCTCATGTCAGAGGATAGTAGGAGGACACAATGACTCATTCCTTCATTAGCTAAAATATCAAGAAGTTAGCATTTAAGACAACTCTTTATATTCAAAAAGGATCAAATATTATAGAAAAATAACTTAAAACCACCTCTGGCTACTAAACTAAGAAAAACTCCAGACACAGTTACCCATTTCTGTATTTCATTCACTATATAACCAATTTGATATATTTTTTTTGTCCCTTGAGTATGCCTTTCTTAATGCTTAATGTTATTCTTAGTAATGCTTCTGAAATTTATCAACGACTTATATATGTATAAATATATATGTATGTATGTATTTCCAGAACATACCTTAATTTGAATTCAAAAGTTAAATAAATATAAATGGCATCCCCAAGGGCATGCTGGGACATTTTTATGCACATACCCTTCACTCCACCTTAATGCTGTATTTGAAAACTGATCCATGTGCCACACAAGACTGGCACATGCTGGTCACATTCTGCTAGTCATCTGTACTGACACAGCTGTCTCAGAACCTTAAGAGTACCAGCAAATGCCATGCCTACATCTCTATATTCTCTTATGAGCCTGAATCCAAGCTCTGAGGGAAACAAGACTGTGTTGGTGCTATATTATAAGGTTCTAGGTGTTGTGGGTAGTGTAGAAACCCTACACATGGAGAGCAGAGCTTTAACTTCAGTCAGGACAAAAAATGTCTCAGATACAACATACCAGGAAGACAGGAGTTTAAAGATCCAGATCTATATAATCAAGAAGCACCAATTTCTATATAACTTAAACAATTTGCATTTTCCTATTGTTCACACAATTCATTTCGTGGTAAGAGTGCAATTCAATCTTGTCTGTCCCAGGCTTAGAAACAAACAAAAACCAAAAGCATGTTTCGGAGAAATGAAGAGTAGAGATTCTCTTATTTCTTTGAGGTATTTTACTCCCAAATGTAGCAATGGATTTTGCCCCATGGCCAAAATATCTTTGTGGAGTTTGATCGCCAGCATATCTGCTGTAACCTTGGGGAGCTGCCTGCCTGATTACATTGTGCTATAGGAAGAAAAAAATTGCAACAGGTTGCTAAGAATTACCCTTGCCTTCCAGCTGCCCTGTACAAATCATGCACTTAACACCAATATTAGGAAATAATTTTTTTTAACTAAAAATGTAAGTTATAAGAAAATAGGAAGGTTCCTCTCTCCAATCTGCACTGGATAATAGGAAGTACAGAACTGACAGGCTTCATTGACACTTTTGGAGTCAGGAAGCTAGACTTTACAAAAGATTCAAATGAAAGGGGAGGGGAGGAGAGGGTGACTATGCTGTTAGAGAACATTGTTTAATTCTGTTGTAAAAAGAGCTCATTTGGCAGCACCAACAGTTGGAATATATGCCAGCCATCCTGCTACTTCTTTGGAAAAGAAATTGGCAACAAAGAGTTGGACTTTGAAGGCACATGGGCCATAATAGATGCTAAACCAAGTTCTTCTGTGGCTTCCTAGGCAAGAGAAAGAGTTGTATGTCAAGTGCCATGTAAGGGGAGGTGAGCTGTGCTGGAGGACAGCCTGCCTCAAACAGCAGAGTGCAAATTTCCCTGATGCTTATGTGAGGCTTGGGTTTTAATTATGCATACCATACTCCATTATAAGGAAACCTTTAGAAGCTGACAGTGCAGCAATTAATAGCCATTCCTATGACTGAAAAGACACACACTGAGAAAGCATTAAAAGTAATGGTAAGAGCTAACATTGACAATCAAAATTTATCGAGAAACTTCTGGAACCAGATGCTGCTCAGAAATGTTTACACCACGTCCTGCTCACCATGTCTCAGCAGAGCAGGTGTCTCTATGTTTGTATACTAGAAAACGAAACCAAATCTCACAAAGTTCAGGCAAACTTCTCACATCACTGTACAGTGATGAGGGATTCCCCTCGGTATGCCGTGAATACCATTGGTTAATAAAAGAACAGCTTTGAGCCTATAGAAGAGCTATAGAGAACAGAGCTAGGTGGGGAAAAGTAAATTGAATGCTGGGAGAAAGTAGACAAAGTCAGAGAGAAGCCACGGAGCTGCAGCTGGAAAAAGATGTTTTGAAACTTTGCTGGTAGGCCACAACCTCGTGGTGATGCTCAAATTAATGGAATGGGTTACATTAAGATGTAAGAGTTAGCAAATAAGAAGCTAGAGCTAATGGTTCAAGCAGTGATTTAAATAATATGGTTTCTGTGTAATTATTTTGGGTCCAAGCCACTAGTTGCCAGGAACCAACAAGTTGCCTCCTTCAGCAGCACAAAGAATGTTTTAAAGTCAATGCCATCTTGTTGTATCTTGAGATCTATGGAATAGTCGTGAAAAGGCCTTTTCATTATTTCTAATGAATTAAAAGTAGATATTAAATCTCTCTACCTATGATCCTATTTGTAATACATATATATTCTTTCTTGCTTAAATATATCAGTTTCTTGTAATAGTGGCAGGTACTTGCCAGATCTTCAACTCTTAGACAGGAGTGACACCTAGATCCCAATGTGGTATTGTCTGAAATATCGTCCATGTGTGTATTTGGGAAATTAAATCTGTAGCTCATATGTATTTTCAAAGAGGCCACTGGGAGGAAATTAAGGTTATGTTAGGTACTGTGGGGGGGCATAAAAAAGGAATACACAACTGAAAAGAGGGTGTTGAAGCATACGTGCTTTTGTGTCCTCTCATCACAAGCTTACTGCCCACCCAGTTATCACCAAGGATGGAGGCCTTCACCTGTCAGTGAACCCTGGCTATTGGACTTTTCATCCTTCAAAGCCATGAGCTGAAAATCTTCTACTGTTTATAAATTCCCACAGTGTGACAACCTATTAGCAACATAAACTGTATCTAGACAGTGCCCACACAGCATTAGTAGAGGGCAAATTTGAGAATCCAGAGAACAACTAGGCAAAGGGATGTTGTAGTGGCACTCAGTGGTTAAAAGATGGACTGCTGTCACCAAGGCTGGGGTGTTTTCTCAGCCCCAACAAGGTGGTTTATAACCACCTGCAACTCCAGCCCAGGAGATTCAAGGCTATCTTTTGTCTCCTTGGCCACTGCACTCATGTGCGCATATTTTCATCACACACAGCCCAGCATACACATACTCCTGTAATTAAAATGAAAACAGAATGAAGAGCATGATCTAATCTGCCTTCAAACCCACAAGATGGTTCAGGGGTAAAAGTACTTGTTAGGCAAACTGATGATCCACCTGAGCTTAATTCCCAGATCCTATGATGGAATCAGAGAAATGAACTCTGAGAGCTGTGTTCTGCCCTCCACATACATATCATAGCACACATAGACCCACACATAGTACACATGCACCCACAGGCAAGTCCACACATGGTCCCAGGACCCTTCCCTTTCCTTCTTTAAGGCTAACTTAACCCTGATTAGAAGAAAAAGAATAAATTAAAATCAAAAATTTAAATGTAGAATTAGGAGTATTTTAAAGATGTAAAATGAGTTATTGAACATTATGGAACAAAACATTTCCTCCTTTACTAAAACACTGATGTTTTTGATTAATATCCTGGAATTGCTGTCTTTAGTCAATATTCAACATCTAAAGATAAAACCACAAAGCATCCTCTTCCAACTTGTAAGGAAAATAGAAGCAAATCACATTTATTTCATATACAAGTATGTTTGTCTTCATCGTGAAATTGTTTTTGTCATATTTAAAAGTTTATAGGAGTAGTTTCAGAGAAGTTAATATAGGGACTATACGTATAAATTCTATAATTGTAAATAATCTTTGTAAAATGTCATAATTTATAATAACTGACTTAATGAACTCACATTCCATATTCATATATATATATATATATATATATATATATATATACAAACTCATATACTTGTTTTTCTTAAAGCTACTATATGGAATATCTATCCCATATTACTCTATAGGATTGTATTTATATTTTCTGACTTTCTCCAAAATCTTTCTTTTGCTTATCAGACAAGTTTAGAAAAGAAAAGAGAAGATAAGAAAAACAGCATTTCCTCCACAAGTTTTTAATACCAAAAAAAAAATAGATTTCTTTTTCTCCTCTCGATTTAATCATTGTATCTATTGGTCAATCAGGACCATATGTATAAAACAAGCTTTGATCTGACTCTGTAGTTAAAGATAACACATGACTGTACAAGGCACACACAGTTTCACTAGAGCAAACTCATGATCTATGATGCTAATTTTCTTTGTTTTCAGGCAAAGAAATTTAATGAACATTTCTAGGCTTGTTCAATTTTACACATCCATATTTAAGTGAACACAGTTCATATCACATATAGAATGCATAATTAGACTCTCATGGAGTTGATTTTATGTCCTTGGTCAAATTTACAATGTGGTAGAAGTTTAGAGTAACAGCTGCCATTGTGAGACAGCACTTGCTTTTTTGGTCGGTGAGATGTATAGGAAGCTATACGGAGACTTTGAGGGACACTGAGACACAGGGGCGCTGTGACTTGTGGTCAAGTAAATAAAACATGAGCTAAGATCTGTTGATTTTCCAATGTGATCTTTACTATTCTTTGGGGTGTAGAAGAAAACTAAAATATATCAATGAAAAAGGTCATGATACTTTTAAATTTAACAAGAAACAATTTAACAGCAATATATTAGAAAGAATATTCTTCAGTTTCCAATAAAGCACAACATTTTACTTTTTACTGTACCATGTAAGTATGGTGCTTGGAATATGGATTCAGGGCTCAGAACTGGGCTTGACATTGTTAATTATGTTGCTTGGAGAAGAGCC